AAGAAAAATAAAAATATGGTAAAAGAAAACAACTAAGGGAAAAATCACACGGCTAATAACCACCAAGTAGATTTATGATCTCTCTAAAAAAGAAAAAATATCATATAAAAACAACCTTCATATATTTGAAAATAGACCATGATGAATATTTCAGGACATCAGGTATCAGAAGCAAAATGGATCTCTAAATAAAAGCAATAATCCGCCATCTTAAGTTTGCTTTTCCTTAAACTCTAATGGCCCTTAGTATGAATTACTTATTAGCTAAAAGTTTGTGGCACCATTTTACACCTTCATGCAGTCAATTGCTTCATCTTACTTCAGCTTTCATTTTCATGCTTGAATGTTTTCTACAGGTCAGATTTTCAAGGCATCTAAACGGCTGTTGCAACTTTACCTCTCAAAACTGGGCCTATATCATAACTTAGAGGTGGTTCAAGACCTCCATTGGCATTATAAACTTATAGAAGGCTATTAAGACAGCTATCCTGAAAAAAGAAACTGGACGTTCTATATTATGAAATAGATTTAAAATAAATTACACTATGCAAAAGAATCATTTTCAGATGCAGTAAGTTCTCAAATACAGGGCAGCAATGCTGACCATCACATCAGAGCAGAGGCTTGCTGCAAAACAATAACTTCTTTTGTCAATACACTGGTTTAATCTTACTACTGTATGGGTATGACTTTCTTCTCTCATAACGAAAGGATTATATTCTTCCTGGCTCACTTGAACCTAGCTTCTTTGGACTCAAACGCTAGTCCTTGATAGATAAACTGTTTGTATTGAAAGATAATGAAATTTATACATCTTAAATATTTATTTAAGAAAAAAACACTATTGCTAGTGGTTCTTTTATCAGATTTAAGGAATGTTCTCCTCCAGGGGATGGTTAGGAGCTACCACCTTGTTAACCAAATTCGATGGAGACGCTTGCGATCGAAGATATCACAAGTTCAAGCTATGCTAGCTATAGTTTAGATGAGGCTTCCCTTGTATATGAGAGAGGCTATCACCATCATCATGTAAGCCCTTTACCATGAAATGGAATCAGAAATGAAGTGTACTTCCAAAAAGAGAATCCCCACGAAAAAACCAGTGAAATGTTTAGTAAACCACTTCACCAGATAATGCCAATATTCATAGGTGGTGCCTATTTCCTACCGATTATACTGTAGACAAGAGAGATTTGACATAAAACCCATTAGGCCAGTTGGCAAGTCGAGAAACCTACCCTTTCCGTTATGCATTTTAGAGTTGCACAGATATGGAGTAATCCTCCAAAATTTTCAAGACTACGGAAGGGTTAGACAAGGTCGGAAGTAAAATGTTATGAGATAAGGAATCCCAGCAATCTTAGAGCCATAACATGAGCCAAAAGAAACCTCATTAAAAGTGAGGGCTTATAACCTTATTATTTCAGAAACAAAAAGGGCAAACGCAGATTCATAAATGAATGTTATTTGAATTTTTTTTGGGGTCAAAGTTTAATAAGATGGAACCCTTTTGAACAATGTCAATGGCGAGATAAGGCTTTAAGACCCACTTTTCAATAGGTCCATACCAATATTTCAATGCGTGTTGTTTCCTAATTATGTCAACAAGGAAACATTTGCTTTCCTTTTTTTTCCTTGGGAATATCTAACCCATATTAAAAAATCCACCAGTCATGTTAACAAGGAGACATGAGAAATTAAGATCAAATAGGAATAACATATAAAGAATTAACTGGGACAGAGTAAACAATCATCTCCAT